ACCGGATTCTGGCGAGTTACCATGGTGGGCGCCAGTGCGGGCATCAGGGTCGCTGCGACCTTGCTTTCAAGTTGAGATGCTGGGATCTAGCCAGTATGTAGGTTGAAACCTTGTTTTTTCTTTCTTTTCTGCCCACGGTCACCTTCGCGTAGCGTAGCACCGCGTTACGTCGGTTGCCGTGAACATCAAGAAACGGACTAAGCCACGACGAGCGAAAGACTGGCGTTGCGTTCGGTTCGAATCTCGACCTCCTTGTCCTGGCCGATGCAAAGCTGAGTGACGTCGGAGCGCTCCGAACTCGGCGGCGTGATCAGAGATCTGGCCTGGGGCAGGCAAGGCGCGTGGTTTCCCCTCCGACGGACCAATGGCGGTCTGAGGCGAAGTTCTGGGTGGGAAAAGTGAGACAGAAAAAAAAAGTTTTTGTTAGTCGGCCCTACACTGCGCCTGGTGGACCACGGTCAGCTCCGATGATGAGGGCATCGAAATTTTTTCAGTATTGGTGGCCTAGGAGGTTTAGGCCCGGCCCTGCTGGGTGATTGCTCGGATATGTCTGCGTCTCTGCGGAGACGAAGGACGAGAAAAAAAGCAAACCAAAGGCGAGGGGGAGGAAATGAGGTCGAGGTGAGGACCAACCAGCTCGAGGGCCAAGGGACCGAGACACATCGATCTGGGTAAAGCTGAGAAGCAGGGTGGAACGCTTTCGGATGGGATCGCCTTGGGTCGTGGGTTGGGCAGGGATCAAATGAGATCCGGACCAGGTCGGATGCGGGTGATTACCAGGTAACGACAGGAATGATGATTTAGGTGAGGGAGGGTGGGAAAACCAGGCAGAGCAGATGGAAGATGGTGGGCAGGGCAAGAGAGAGAGTGGGAGGGCGGGAAGAATTAAGGAGAGGAAGAGGAGGGGAGGATGAAGAGAGAGAGAGGGAGAAGGGCGGTGAGGGAAGCAAGTGGGTGGGATAGTGATGTTGAATGAGGCTGCGAGCTTCGCATCTGCTATTGTTGCGGTGATGGTGGTGCGGTGGTGGCTGCATGTGAGAGCACCCATGATGGAAGCAATAGGTCGCAATAGGACGGGGAGGAGCCCGCATCGTAGATTCGAGACTCAGCTGGGCGGAAGAGGCCCCATGGAAGTGGAGATGGCGGCAGCAGGAGGGGGGCACAAGAACGATCTGTCAACTGCGCATGCGTCTTGTGGGAAATTTGCAGCCAGAGCTTCGTAACCGTGAACGCATGCTGCATGGTGAGTGGCGAGGCGGCCTTGTGTTACCATCGGTACATCCATCACCAATCGCTGGCGCGTCAATGCGCTGGCGAGGTGCCAAGGCGGGTAAGCAAGTCAATAGCATTGCGGTTGAGATCTGGACTTGGTACCGCACCTGGGCATGAATCAACGAATGGCACAGCAGGCACCGTGGCTTGTTATCTCTCGGGGAGCAACCAACCTTGCATCCCGCTCCGCCCCGTTGACGGAGGCAACTAGAGGGCTAGCTGCCTTATGCAGCACATTGCATGGCACCAAGGATGCGAAGGCTTCCTGTTCTTGGCCTGCCGCCCCTCCCTTGCATTCAATGTCGGATGAGGGACGGAGACCAGCGCGCACATTCGTTGGGCAATAAGGTGATAGATCACATGTACTGTAGGATAGTCTTGGAGCTAATGAGCCATAGTTTCATAACGTAAAGGCTATGATATGCAAGATGGTAGGCTCGCGTCGTACTGCCGCAAATGGGGCTAGCTGTGGACATTGGGGGCCGGTTGGGCGGCCTCGTTCTGGGGCTGCAACCTGGCAGTGAGACCTCAACCACTCCGAGGGTGTATAGGACGGCTCGGGTCAATCAATTGAAGCTCGCAGAACAACCTGGCTGCTGGCGCTGTTTAGGATGCTGATGGGAGTTGGCTAACAGCTCTGCCGGAGAATAGGAGCAGGATGTGGGGAAAGTACTGGGTGTCAGCAGAGTCTAAGAGCACGGCGAGGCAGGAGCACAGGAGGGAGGAGTGGGGAAGTCCAATTAGAATCGATCGGCAACGGGCGCTAGGTACTGGTACCGGACTATTCCAGCACGTGTACCTTGTACTAGAGGGTACACGTGCGTGCTGGCCTGATTTGGCTGTCTAGCGCAGGCACGTCCCTGGCTATCGCGGTATGCTACATGTACCTGGACTTCCACCGTCCTTCCCCTGTTCCTGCCCTGGTCTCTCATCACCAACAACTTCAATTTTCTCCTGTCTTGGTTCTACCTAGTTCCGGTTCAGACCAATGGCCTTGCTGTTAGCCCGCCATTGTCGCACAGCAGCCGTTGTGGTGCGACCTGCATGTGTTCCAGCCCAAAAGCCACCTCATCCTCGAGCCTGTCTTAGGATGTCTTGGCCAGCTGAAAGCCAGCCGAGCGCCCATCTCTGCCAATCAAGGCCCCTCGCCGATTTGAGCTGATGGGGACTAGTCAGACACCTCTCACGCTCGAATGTGACTCTGCAGTGCTCGTCTGCATGTTGGTCAGTGTTGGCCCAATGGCCTGAGCAAGAGTATAGGATTAGGGGTGGGTCGCTCTTTGGTGTGTGGTGTGCCAATGCGCGCGTGTGTGAGTGAGCAGCAGTGTGCTTTGATCTTTTCCCTCTTCTTTGCGTGGTCGTGTGATCGCTCAGCCTCTGTTCTGCAGGAAGATGCCTTCGCCCCAATCGGCGGTGCGTTGGGACGACACTACCAAGGCCAAGCCAGGAACTTGCTTTGTTTCGACGAGATACCATGCGGCTTAGCTATCCCTCTTCCAATTGAAGTCGTATAATTTCACCTATGCATAATGTGGGCTACCGCGCCGCGAACTAGATCCGGATAATGCGCTCTGGGATCACAGCCGACTTACCCAGCAAAACCGGGGGTGGACCGCAGCAGTTTTTGATACCTCACACTGATATCGCATCACATCGTATCGGTGAGCAAGCAGGCACAGGTATTGCCACCCTCGCTCTTGATCGATCTTCTACATCCATGTTCCCTCTCGATATGCAGACTGGTGTTGCTTTTGTCCCTGTACCGATACGAAAAGGTCCCCTCCTTTTAAACGAGGGGCCGATGACTTGGATGGGTACATTTGATCACCGCCAGCTCCGCTCATGGGAACCCAAGAACCTGGAAATTCGCCCTTACCCTTGCCTACTCCTGAAAGGGAAAGCTGCGTACACGGAGCCGGCCGCAAGTTGGTGAGATTGTCCATGGCGGCGCCCAACGAGGCGAGCCATGAGACAGTGACTCTCTTCCATTTGCCGATCCCGGCTTCGAAGCGCACACAAAGTATAATTACTTTTTCCTCTGACAACCGCTAGACTAGCTAGATCCTGCCGTCGGCCCCATCCCTAGGCCGTCCTGGACTAGCAGGCGCATATCCGTCCATCGTCTACCTCATTATACTTTGGGGCTTGTCATCATCTGCATACCTAACGCACTGTCCATGTGGTTGGGCTAATAAGCTTGTAGGAACGGGTCACATTCATCGAATCCATCTGGTCATTCCTCCTGGGTGTGGGTGTGAGCTCAAGTATGGGTTACGCTCTGGCCTTTTCATGATTGGTCCTAGATTGCAAAGTGATCCGATCCTTGAACAACCAACAGCACTTAGACACTGGATGACTCCAAGCTGCAAGTCTTGTGTCACCCAATTGCCTCCACAACCACTCGCACAATAACGGTCTCCCGCTCTCCTATTGATCTGTCCGTTTCTGCGGCCACCCTCTGGCCGTCTAACTGCTTAGTCTTACCCCACCTCGTGGACGCTATACCTAGCCCAGTTTCCTCACACCAAGCCAAACCTTCTCCGGCTTTCACTACATCAACCCGCCATATCTGCCGTGCCTCCACCCCCGAGGCTGCCTTTATATTCTTCTCTTCTTCTTGGGTTTACCGCAGCCACCCCCGAGTTGAGTTTGTCGCACCTCATTGGCTCTTCTGCGCCTTCTATCGCCCAACTCATCATCTCTCCACTATCTACGCCAGAGGCCTCCTCTTACAAGCGAGCCATCTAACGTTGCTCCTGGAACCTGGATTTAGGATGATCTAGTCATTCTTTCAACGAAACATGTCTCGGTTACCATCCATTTTTCTCGCCTAGACTTCATTTTACCGTCACTGAGCACCTCGATGCATTACTTCTGTTGTTAATTTGTTTCTGGTTAACGCAAGCAAGTTCCGAAGCCTTCTCCAGTTCTCTAGGTCACGTCGTTGTGGATCTCGTTCCTTCCTCACAAGTACATTGGCATTTGTCTCAGAACTGCAGCTTGAGTGAAACCCTAGCACCATCACCCTGGAAGCCAGTCGAGCATGTCTCATTTCTTCCATGTCAAATGCAGTCTGACAAGCACGTAGCACTGGCAAAAAGGAAGAACGCTTCCGCGAACTGGGGATAGTCTCGCTTCTTTTAACCTCGACTATCCTCTGCGCCCTTTTCGTCTCTACTCCACAACATTCCAACAGCTTTCCTTTAACCTTCCAACAACGATCTGGAATATTTCCGCTTGTCATATTTTCAACTCCGCGGAAGGCTCAATATACTTGGGCCATAACCTTCCCACAAGAGGATATTATTTGTCGGCTGCCACTGGTTCTTCTAGGGACCTCTCTTGCAGCTGATAACAACTCGGTTCTTTTTCATTCAGAGCGTGCCAGCGCTCAAGACCGTTTCTACCTTGTTCAGACGACTTCGCGCCCTCTAAAGTACTGCCGCGTTAGAGTGATATCTGACGACTATCACAAACTTTTCTCATCATGTCTCGCCCTCAGTATGAACGAGGCTACGAGCTTCGTCCGGGGCGATATGAGTATGGGCATAGGGACACCTTGGCGAGTGAGCCCGAGCATAGGATCACCCTCCCTCCTCCGCGGGACATGGTGGCTGGTGTTCCGACTAGAGGTCACCAGCAACCAGATTATCAACAGCATTACAACTATCCGTCGCCTTCTGCCCCTCAGGCAGCCCAACCGTACCGGGATTCATCTTCTTATACTACTATGCCTCGGGTACAATCGCCGGAGAGTTCATCTCATCACGGTCGTCCGACCCATTATCGTGCGGCTCACTACGATCATTCGGCTCATGACGATCGTCCGACTCATCAGGAACGTTCGGCTCGCTACTATGATCCGGCTCATGACGATCGTGTAGCTCACTACGATCATTCAGCTCAACAAGATCGTTCAATTCATCACGATCGTTCGACTTACCACGATCGTTCGGCTCATCAAGATCATTCGGCTCGCTACTATGATCCGGCTCATGATGATGGTTCAGCTCACTACGATCATTTATCTCAAAGAGATGGCTCAGTTCATCACGATCGTTCGGCTTACCAAGATCGTTCGACTCATCAAGATCGTCCGGCTCGCTATGATCATCCGGCTCATCAAGACCGTGTAGCTCACTACGATCATTCAGCCCATCACGAGCGTTCGAATCACCACGATCATCCGGCTCCCCACGATCCTTCATTTCGAGGCCCACAGCCAGAGTATAAGTACCCTACTATGTACCCCCATCCTAATTCACACCAGGCCGTAGAAAACAGGCCAGCGGAAAGAAGAATGGAGCCTTCTGAGGTTCATAATCCAACCTACCCTTCTGATGTTCATAATCCATCCTATCCTTCTGATATTCATAATCCCCCCTATTCGTCATCTTCTCATCCAGTTATCGATCAATCGACCCCTCGAAGGGCAGAGACTTTTCGCCAAGGGGTATCAGACCAATCGAATGCATCAGCTATGAGTCAGAGGCAATCTACATTCCAAGCGAGGCCAGCAGCGGTCACTTTTGGGCCTACGAGCGAGACACCCAACAGGATCGCACCAGTCCTGAACCTCCTCGGTCCAGGGAGAGCCGATGATGTAGCGGGAATCCGATTCCGAATTTCAGTGCGCCAGCAGCCGGAAGCGGCGCGTGCCTGTGGCTCAGGAGAACGTGACAGGAGAACCATAGACCCTCCCCCGATTGTCCAGCTCCATGTGGATGGACCCAATCTCTCTCATGAGGATAAGAAGAAGTACCTCAGCTGGGACGGATACGTATGCCATTGCTGGATCTGGGACCAGTATGGGACAGCAGAGGCGTCGATAATGCCAGCTGAGTACCACTATCAACGTCGTCTCACGGGGTCCCAGGTTGCTGCCCCATTTTTTGGCAAGGACCAGAAAAGAGTCGAGGGCTGCTTCTTCACCTTCTCAGATCTCTCGGTCCGGACCTTGGGGACGTACAAGCTCAAGTTCAACATGATCATGATGGATGTTCAGAATCCCGGGCAGAGCAGGCACTTCCCCAACTTGTGTGAGGTGATCAGCCGCCCATTCACGGTGTACACGGCCAAGGACTTCCCCGGCATCAGCGAGAGCAGCGGACTGGTCAGGGCGCTGAGAGCGCAGGGCTGCATCATTTCCATCAAGAAGGGGAACGAGAAGAAGCGGAGAACTGGGAGGCGATGCGATGAGGACGACGATTCGAGCGATGATTAGGCATTATCACTGACGATTCTCATTCATATTATACTATAGGATGGGCAAATTTATGCCCTGGCCAGACGAAGACGACTTGGCGAATATCTGTAAAGTTACACGCTTGTACTGTTCTTGGGGATTTCTATACATGTAACAATTCTCACCCTTGTTAATCGAATAATTGAATAAAGCAGATACAGTACTCAAGCTGGCATCGGCCGCTTTTCTATAATTTTCTCACGAATTGCCCAAAATCCTAGGTTTGATTTGGGGTACTCAACATGAAACTATTGTGACTGATGACTGATGCTGGTTTTGGTCCAAGGTTCAATGAACGGCACCACTGACGATTCATGATATGACCGGGTGCCTGGTTGCAAGGTTGGAATGGATAGTGTCGTCTGGGTTGCTTCAACCTGGGTTTCAAACAAGGGCTGGCGAATCGAATCTCTACGCGCCTACCTCCTGAATACGAACGGTATCCCTTTGGCAAAGGATGTTCACATTCTGTTTGGAGCCAATGATAGATTCAATGGCTGGCAAGGCGCAATCCCTACTGGGGTCTGGTTGGTTGCGCTGCACCCGATGCAACACGTATGATGGCGCTGTGACAAGGCCGGCGCATACTTTCCTTTCTCTCATTCTTTTATGCTTTTTTTTTCTCAGCCAGAGAAAGGCATGAGCTGCCAGCATGGTTGGCCGTCAGTCCCGAAAATGAAAGCTTGTGGCTGCAGCTGTTAAGTACTAAATCCCGATTGGGATGAGACGAACCTTTATTGGTTCCCTGATTATCGTAATACCTACCTGGAGGGAGAGAAGAGAATCCGACTCAGCCTTGGCGGCGGGTTGTGTGCATTAGTTTGCTGCGGTTGGGCACCGTTGGCGGCGAGTACATATGACCCTCCAGGCTTTTCTGCTTTCGTATTGTTGGCCGAAGAACAAGAGCGGACGCAGTCAGCCAGGAAAATGCCGCAAGAAATTGACCGCCTGGGTGGAAAACAGGAAGCGACGAGCAAACGAGGGGAGGGGATGCTTGTCATTGGGGAGGGAGTTTGGACAACCAACATGCTTCTGACCGGTACGGGCGGCATGAATGACAGCCCTGAGTCACGGCGAATTATGATGGTAGGTGGCGGTCGGGTGCAGAGCTGAAGAAAAGTACCCATTCGAAGAAAAAAAGGTCTTGAGCAAACAACCGGTGTGCCTCCCCGTTCGGGTCGGCTGGGTGCCATGCGATGCAGCCGTCGGAATTTGGTGGCAGGTTCCAGCTCTCGCGGTATGCATCAGTTGGCTGCTACCCAAAGCACCGCAAGAAATGATAGGGTTGAGACCAACCGTTGATGTCTGGCTGAACTCTATGTGGTGCGTCGGTGATTTGAAACAGGTTTATGCCGTGCCTGTTCGTTACCAACGGCCACGGGGTGAACTGAATTGTAGCTCAACCTTGGTCAAAGCCTTGTTGGTGGGCTGACAAGCTGGCCAACGGCATAAGGAGGCAATTCGATTGGACTGGTGGTACACGTGTCAGGGACCTGCAGTATTCTCACTCTCAATTGATTATACCGCTCGAGGCATTGATAGTCATGTGCCCGTTCTGTCCAACAAACCATCAGCTGCCACGAGAATTGCCTTGCCAAAACAGGGACAGCGTAACCGTGGGCGCACATGTGGCGGGAGCTAGACTTTACCACTTTTTAGCCCTCGTTGACGTGCCTGGGAGCTGAGAGTTTATCTGAAGTTTCAGAAGTACCGGCGTGCATGCAGGCAATTTCCTGGTGAACCCTATTTGGACCAATCCCGCTTTGCTGACCAACGGTGACCGTCCGAGCAACAACAGCAATGTTGCGACCCTTGCGACACTGGTTGCCTGTTTCGATACCCTCGTACCAAGCATCTCAAAGTTAAGTATGCAGAAAATTCGATTGAAATTCCCCGGCGTCAAGCGAACAAGGGACAGTATCAAAGAGGCGTATAATAGACATGGTACCTTGTGAACTGAGGAGGGGGTAAGAGGGGCCAGTGCTCCAGGTTGTGAAAACCTCGCGAACGAAATGAGTAATGTAGCCTTTCTAGCCGTATGCCGCGTTGTAGCAGGTATGGAGGTGTCGGCGATCTTTCGTAAGGGCTCCCTCACTTTGCGCCCAAAGCAATGGCAGAGCAGCGATTTGGTGCTTCGTCTTGCGGTGAGCTCGGCTGTGGGGCAGCTGAATAGATTCCAATGACCAACAACACACTTAGCTGGCAATTGTGATTGTGACCAGAGCCAGCGGTTACCCGGTGCCCCGAAGCGCCGTGGCCAGGCCCCTCTCGGTGTTCACCATGGATGGAATGCGCTTCGACGAACAGCGGCACGATGTGGTTGGTGACGTGGGGAAGTGCTGAGAATGGGAACCAATCAGCGGCAAGGGACATTAGGTTTGCTCCCCTGGCGCTAAGACGGAATTAAGCGTGTTTCAGCGGCTGCAGGAACAGGCACAGCAGTAATATTTCCCTCTTTGTTGCGTATGTATGTGCTTTGTTGGTGGGGAGCTTTTGGCTGTTGGTCCCATGGCCGAGCGCATCGGGCCCGAATCCAATTGACAAGTTGTCCAGCTGGTTCGGTCGCCAGCTGTCACCGTCGCTGTCCTGAACTAATGGTTATTCGTATGACGTTGTGGAACTGGAGCGACTGGATTCGCCAGAATCTGCCAGAATTAAGATATTACGCCGGGATTAGGTGCAACCAGTCATCGGTGCAGATGCTGGTTAGTGCTCACCTAAGTACCTACCTTACCTTAAATAAGCACGGGACCAATTTTAGCATTGACAAAGTACTTGTCTAATGGGGTAATTCATCCTGCCCATGAGTATCTGCCAGCGGGATATGCCATGGAAAAATCAATTATGGCTGATTGTGTGCCCTCCCATTCAGCCTCATTCACTCAGGTACACTGCCCATGTCGGGTGAGTTCATCGGGTGCATCACCGACATGAGTGACCCTCTTGCCGTCGGAATTCCGCGGGTTGATCATGAGGGTTTTCTGTGTGGAACCCTACGCTATCCCTGTGGCTCACCTTCTCAAGCCAGCATTGGTGATGGAAATCTTCATTTTCCCAGCACATACATGGGAGGCCTGCCTGATGGAGGTTAGGTGACAAATTAAGGTAGGCACCTCGCCGGGGTGCTGACGAGGGCTTTATTTTAGCACTCCCACTCACTGCCACTGCGGGCAGGTACTACCCGCTCCACTTTGCCGTGCCTGCCCTACATCGCACATGCACATGCCTCAACTCGCTGCAGAAGGAGCAGGTCTGGAATCCAAAATCCAGACGGCAGGATCCTCTTGTGTCATATTACTCGTCTTACTACTGCTTTCTCACCTACAATGCAATCCATCGCCATTGGGGGCCCGTCCGTTCATACCACAAAGACGACAATCCGCCTTCACAAAGAGGAATAAAGAGAAAGACTCTTACACTCGCATGCAAGACAAGAGCGCCAGGGGAAACAAAGGGCGCCAAGGACGATCAGCAAGGCGCCACCCGAGCGAGTAATTTTACTTTCCAATGCTAAATCCCGCCATCTGTTGATCGGCTTATGTGCCTGACATCATAACCAACCACAATTCCCCGTGAGCATCTGAGGTATGCAAGGGACTGGCTACCTTACCCTCCATCACAAATTGCCAAGTCTTTGGGTTTTGAGGGTGCCTGAGCTGAGTGTCCTGGGGACAATACTTGGGGTGTACCACCTCCCGTGGCTGGCCCAGGGACGAGAATACCGCCAATTCTACAACACCGTATTAGCATGTGTCACCATGAAACTGACCCCCTGCCCACAGCCAAGACCAATCCTTGTGCAGCTTAGGCCTTGCCACTACTGTGGGCTTTATCTTGTCTCCGCCTGGTGGTTGTTGGCCAGCCTTTCTCTTGGAAGATCTAAAACTGGCAGCCGCTAGACCGCTTGTGGGCGCCGGTGCCTGAGCATCGCGGCTGTTGATGAGGACCTGCGTCTTAATATATGTGCCCCCATCAGCCACCCATTCCCAAGCTCTTCTTCTTCTGCTTCTCCACCTGTTGTTTGTTTGATCTTCTTGGCCTTCATTCTCCCCCTTTCTTCCATTGTTTGCAATTTCCCAGGCTGCTGAGCACTGTCCTGTATATCCTCTCATTAACCTCGAACAGTTCCCTCTGTTCCTGACTCTCTTTTCCTCCCACGGCCAGTCCGAAACTTCTTTCTTACAGACATACACTTGAACACTGGTAACCAAGACATCGGTAGTCCTGGTTACATACTAGAAACTTGCCCTTATCCACTACAGAAGTCCCGCCAGTCCCAATCGACCAAGATGAAGCACGGTTCGATGGTCGCTCTGTCGGCCTTGGCTGGTTCTGCCGCCGCTTTCAAGTACAACGATGCCTTGACCTTCTCCGTCATGCAGTTCACCGGCACGGAAATCCGCAAGGCACGCGATGACCCCATTGTTAACTTCGGCCAAACTTCCTCCCACGTTCACCAAATCATGGGCGGGAGCGGATTCAGCAGGACATCCACCGGCGCAGACCTCTTGAAGTCTGAGTGTACCAATGCTCGGGTTGCTGGCGATATGTCCAACTACTGGTTCCCTGCCATGTTCTTCAAGGACCCCGTCACCGGGCAGCTGGAGAGTGTGCCAATCAGCTATGTTAATGTGTACTACCAGTAAGTGATGGATACAACTCTTTGACTCGCTTTCGTTAGCCCATTTGCATTTACTGACCGGCCCTATTATAGTATGGACAAGACGACCGACACTATCAAGGCCTTCCCTGCTGGCCTTTCCATCCTCGTTGGTGATCCTACGCGCCGCACCGCCCCCGAGGGTGGCTATACCACCAACCTAGACCCTAGTCAGGGCCCTGTCGGTAACGTTAGGTGGACTTGCCCTCGTTCCTCATACGAGCCTCCATCCTGGCCATTGGATTCGGATGGAACCAACGCTGGAATGGGTGAGGGAAATAATGGTATTGGTTTCCCCTTCATGGACTGCGATGGCTATGCCTCGCCTTTGCGTGGTGACATCCACTTCCCCTCTTGTTATAAGCCCGATGTTGGCTTGACCGACTACAAGAACAACATGGCATACCCTACCTCAGATGGCAATGGTAACTTGAACTGCGCCAAGGGAGAAATTCACGTGCCCCGCATGCTTCTGGAGGTGTACTTCGAAACCTCGTCTGTTGTTCCGGGCAAGGGATTCCAGGATAGATGGGATCACTCCACAGGAAAGGGTCCTCAGCCCTTCCTCCTGTCTAACGGAGATACTACTGGCTACGGCTGGCATGCGGACTTTATGGCTGGCTGGGATGAGGACGTGCTCCAGAACATCATCGACAACTGCGATGTCAGACATGAGGGTACCCACACCTGCCCCGGTGTCACCCCGAACACCGCCACTTGCACTATCAAGACTCTGGTTGACGAGGACGTCGACGGACCTTTCTCCAAGCTCCCCGGTAACAACCTCCTCACTGGGTACGGTGACAAGGTTCAGAACGGTGGTGGCAGCTCCCCCTCTGCTTCTTCCTCTGCTTCTTCAGCCCCGTCATCCTCTTCGTCCGTTTCCTCCGTGGCTCCTAGCTCTGCAGCTCCCTCTTCTGCGGCTCCTTCATCTGCCCCTTCCTCTTCCTCGTCTTCTTCCCAGGACTTCCCTTACTACCCTACCAAGGTTGTTCAGAACGATGCCAAGCCTGCAACCACATTCGAGGTGGTCAAGTCTTCCTCCGCCGTTCAGGATCAGCCCAAGATTGCCGCCGTTGATGTTGTCGTACAGACTGTCTGGCACACTGTGACTGTGACCGCCGACCACAGTGCCGAGAGCTCTGAAGCCGCTCACGTCCGCCGGCACGTACACGGCCACCGTGGCAACCGCCATCTGTAAGATTGCTGCTTTGCCGAAATGGAGCATGAACAACCTGGTGTATATATGAGGTGATGAGGTTGTCAACTTGTTAAAGGCGACAAATTGGAAGATTGGGCCTGGATGACTTTCCCCGAGGCCGAGACCAGTCGATCTGGAACAAAGCTCCTTTCAACTCCTCGGGTGTTTCAATTCGATTGTATTTTATTCGTCCCAGCCGGCATATCCTATGCTTCTGGAAGAGGCTAGTTAGAACGGCGTGGTTTTCAAATTCTCTTGTGCCCCGATTCAAATCTGCTTGGCTAGACGCCGGACGGAGGGGCAGCTATTTATTGTCATTTTCTTTTCTTCATGATGAGATGTACCTTTGTTTTCGGCGTGGAGTGCTAAAAATGGGTAGAGTAGAGGAAATTTAAGAATCAGTTTTCTGAATTCATTCATCAATTGTTTGCGTATTGACCATGTGCCCACCATGTATCTCTCTGATATAGACCATTCTTACCCTCCTCTTAGGTTCCTAGACGGATCTTTTTTGGTGGGTTTTTGGGGGTCCTTTTTTCGCATGCAAGGGATATCCCAAGATCAGGCCACACGTGAATCCCTATACAGATAAGCAATTCAAGTGCTGGAGCTACTGTTGCTGCATTAGACCTGGTCTGCTAGATTGACCTTGCAATGGGCTACCTAGGTCAAGTCGTTTCGAGATTTGAATATGCGTGACAGGATGATTTAAGCTTAATGCTCGGCCCATTTACGAACCGAATAAGCCAGCCCCTGTTTTAGGCATGGCAAAACAAACTACCATCTACATACCTAACTTGAGGTTTTCTTATACCACCAGAGAGCTAATAAGCCACGCTTGTCGTATTCACGGGACACACTTGCCAAACAAGTCGGGCCTTCAGCAATTGGTCATCACAGCAACGGTAACACGAATGGTAGTGACGTAATCCGGCCGTAGAGGAGAATGTGCTTACATGTTTCATCCGCAGGGGGGCTTACGATGATAGGATCTTCTGTATCTGATGTTGATCACGAATCTGATGTTGATCATCAGCAGACACGGTGGTTCTCACAAACCTCACAAAATGGAGCCTGAAAGTTCGGCCATCGGGGTCGTTAGTCTCGCCGGGCTGTTCAACGCCTGTCTGGGGACTGTCGCGAGAATCGATGCCAACAAAGAATTCAGGAGTGACTCGCAAGCTCTCGCAGCCCAATTCCATGCCATCAGGCTTCTCTTTGAGCGATGGGGTCGCGCGGTCGGTCTCGAGAAGGGACAGGTCTCGGTTCATCACCACCCCGTCCTGGAAGACCAGTCTGTTTGTCTCGTGGTCGCTGAAATCATTTCGATGATCCGGAACATAGTCGTCGGTCTAGAGACTCTAGAAGATGCAGCAGCCACAAAGCCGTCCGGCTTGACTCGACGCCCGGCTATCTCATCCGCTCCCCTGGCGCCAAAACGACAGAAGCTTGCGTCGGCGCTGAGAGGAAATGAGAGTCTGGCCGCTGAAGTAGAAACGGTAGACGGTTTAGTTCGAAAGCTGTATGAGCTCATCCCTACCGGGGACTCGAGCAAGGCAGCCGAAATCAATGCAACCAACAGTGACGCCTTTCGGAAGCTACAAGGTTTGAAATACCTTTACATACGTTAAGACATATTCGTCAACTAATGCTTACTGTGTGATAGCCGGCACAGAATCGTGGACCAAGGAAATCCAGAGCACGCTGAAGAAAATTGAGCAAGACAATGAGGCCGAGACGCGGAGGGAATTGCACATGTGGATAGCAGCCGACATTCCGAGCGACGTCTATGAAGATCTCAAAGAGACTCGAGCACCAGGCACCTGTAACTGGATCCTAGACCGAAAGGAGTTTCGCGGCTGGCTCAAGTCAAATGAGAACTCTTCCGTGTCCCCGGTGCTGTGGGTTAATGCCATTGCAGGCTGTGGGAAGACTGTATTATGCGCAAGGGTAGTTGAGCACCTCTCAGAGACCCTAAACACGCCTATTGCTCAATTTTTTCTGTCCTCCCAAAACGCGAGCCGGGATGACCCTTACCTAGCTATCCGATCATGGATTGTTCAGGTTATAGGTCAGAACGCCGATGCATTCAACCTTGTTCGAACAAAACGGCTGTCCCAACACGAGCAGACTGCGAGCCGCATGACTATCATCTCTCTTTTTCAAGAAATATCACAAACAATACCTAGCTGTACCTTCGTTTTAGACGGCCTTGATGAGTGTAATTGGGTTGGCCCTCATCACCAAAACCATAACTCGATCAAGGCCTTCCTGCAAATCGTTGGAGAAACTATGGAGAGATCCACTAGTCGTTTCATTCTGTTTAGCCGCAACGATGAAAGTATCCGAAACAGCTTGCACGATAGTCTTGCTCGTGGCTTTAATGAAATACGGGTGATGGCTCGCGATGTATATGACGATATCGTCTCCTATTCAAGAACTATCGTTAACGAAAAAATATCAAACAAGCCCCAAGATCTCAAAGAGAACATTTCGCAACAACTAGCGGACCAATGTGATGGACAATTTCTTTGGGTACGGTTGCAAGCAACGAAGCTACAAAAGATATCGAATAAATTTCAGCTTCAAAGAGACATCAGCAATACTCCGGCTGGGCTTGGACAGCTATATGAGCGAGAATGGGAATCTATCAATACAAATCCTGATGTAGACACAGAACGGGCACTCTCTCTACTCAAGTGGGCTGCATTTTCTATCCGACCTCTATCAGTCAGTGAGATCGCGGTAGCCGTGCTTATCAAACCCGGATGCCCTGGTGTGCCAGTGGAAGAGCTACTAGATCCTGGTGACGGGGTACATCTCGTAGAGGATATCAAGGCCCACAGTGGCTCACTTCTCGAGATCATTGCCGACAACAAGAGTACGAAGGGGGCGCAGAATACAGAAGATATACGCTCCATGATGGTGCATATAACCCACTTCTCTGTCAAGGAATTCATTCTCACAAGCCTTCTGGTTTCTGATGTTTCACTCAAACGTAACTCGGCTATTTCTATATCATACGAGCAACTTCAACATAGTGCTCTTGCCGAAGCTTGTCTCCAGTATATCTTTCACCCCCACGTATGGAAAATGCATGCTCTGCCAAAGGAAGCGCATGGGTTTGAAACAGCTTTCCTCGATTATGCCGCAGGCAGCTGGTACACACATGCAAACATTGGATCAGGAAATGCTGAGATTGTCAACCTGGTCAACGACTTTTTCAGCGATACAACTGGATGTTTTGATGAATGGAGACGATGGATCAACACACAAGCGTATAATCGAGGTGTATTATCGCAAACTCCTAATGAAGAAAGCCAAGCAAATCGATTACCTTATGCTATATCCATGCGACTTAGAAGTGCCACAGAGTATCTTCTAACCGCAGGGAACTATGAGATCAACGGAAGAGGATACCACGGAGAAACGCCTCTCATAGCAAGCTGCCGCACTGGTCAAATTGAGGTTGTCAACCGTCTCCTCTCGTTTGGGGCAGACATGTCCCTACCAAGCCTAGAGGGCTATATGCCACTCTGTATTGCAGTAGATCAAGGATACATAGACATAGCTAGGGTTCTCTTGGAGGCGGGCGCTGATGCCAACATTAGAAATATCGAGGAAACTGGACGAAACCCACTGATCTGGGCCTCGTCTCATGGCCACCCAGAGCTGGCCAAGTTGCTAGTTGACAACGGGGCTGACGTCTCTTTACCAGACAAGTCGGGCAACACGCCCTTACTGGTAGCCGTTCAAGAAGGTCACCTCCAAATCGCCCAGTTGCTGGTCGATTCGGGGGCTGGCACCACTGCGTCTAGTAATGGCGGACACTCACCTTTGTTCTTCGCTTGCATGAACGGCAATGAACCCATCACAGAGCTACTTATTGATAAAGGGGTTGGCCTCCCAGGAATGGTAGATGAGCATGGTTCCGCGCTCCATGCCGCTGCATCTGGAGGTCATATGGAAGTGGCCAAACTCTTACTGAACAAAGGAGCGCAAGTTGACTGCTTTGATGAGGCCATGAAGACGTCAATATACAATGCTGTTAATGGTGGCCATTTTGGGATGACGGAGCTTCTCATTAAGGAAGGGGCAGACTTGTCACTTCGACCAAGGAGTAGTGAAAGTCTACTTCATGCAGCGGCACGAAACGGCCACTTGGAAATAGCCCACCTGCTAATCGGGGCGAAAAGGGATCTCATCTTCACCCGGGATGGCGTCGGAGATAGCCCACTGATCTCAGCTCTGTATGCCGGACATCTGGAACTGGCTCGACTTTTGCTTGAGGAAGAACCAACTCTGATTCCTGCAGCAGACGACCAAGGCTGGACCCCGCTGCATACAGCCACATCGTTTGGCCACCTGGAGCTTTGCGAGCTCCTTCTAAGCAAGGGGGGCAATCCATCGTGCCAAACTGATGAAGGGAATACTCCACTTCACATTACTGCAAGTGAAGGCTTCCTGGATGTTTGCTTGCTACTTTTAGGGAAGGGAGCGAGGCCATCATGCCAAAACAAAGGTGGAAATACTCCGCTTCATATCGCTGTGCGTGAAGGCCACTTGGAGGTAGCTAATTCTCTTCTTGAGAAAGGAGCAGATCTTAATATTGTGGAGAAAAATGGATGGGCTCCCATCAATATTGCTGCAGTAAAGGGTCATCTAGGTGTGACGAAGCTACTTCTTGGGAAAGGGGCAAACCTTGCTATTGCAGAGAAGACATCTGGAAGGACACCGCTCCTGCTCGCTGCAAGCCAAGGCCACTTGGAGATGGTCAAGCTACTTATTGAGAAAGGGGCAGACCTCAATACTTCAGATGATGATGGGAGGACTCCGCTCCTTTTTGCCGCAGGTCGAGGCCACTTGGAGATGGTCAGGCTACTTCTTGAAAAGGGGGCCAGTATCAATACAGGAGACAAGACATGGACCACGCCCTTGCATGCAGCATGCCACAGCGGCAATATCGAGGTGGTGGGCTTTCTACTTGGACAGCCTGGTATTCATCCAAATACCCTCAATCTCTTCGGCCGCCCGCCATTGTGCGATGCGGCTCGCCGTGGTCAGACTGACGTTGCCAAGGCATTGCTCTGCAACAACGCCAGGGCAGACATATCGGACGGGCTTGGCCTGCCGCCTTTATTTTACGCTTTGCGCAACGGCCAGAGCGAGGTTGTACAGCTCCTGTTACCGAAAACTCCGGGATGGAAGAACTGGAAGGACGGCCTCGGGCGAGATTTTGTTTGGTGGGCACATCATATCAAGTCTCCGCGGATCACGCAGCTCTTGGTGGACCATGATGCTGATATCAAAAGCTGTCACAGTGAGGATGGCGCGAGAGACGTCTCAAGTGACCCGCCTCCCCCCTTGAGCAGATCAAGAGGCTTTTGTGATTGCTGTATAGGCTCAGTGTTGAGGGGTACGCCGCTCTACTTTTGCAGCATATGTTGGGCTGGACAATTTTGCATTTGCATCGAGTGTTTTGAAGGGGGGCTAAGATGTTTTGACGATTCTCATGAGTTGACATTAAACTAAGGATGAAATACTTGGGGGGTTTTACTTGAGAGGCTTCTACTGTCTCCTATGGCGGGGGCTAGTTTGTATACGGGTTATTTATTCTTCTGCTTCTTGAACGCAGCCGCGATGGTATTCTTGGGCTTAGCACGCTTCTCACCCGCGTGAGCCTCCCGACCCTTTTTATCTCCACCATCTTCACCGTCGGTGTCGAGCTCGCCGCGAACCTCGGATGTATCTGGATCTGGGAAGAGCTCTCTCCAGCTCCCATCCAGCACCTGCTTGTCCGTCCCATGGAGGTCAACATCGTAGGCCTTCTTCATAGCATCAATGCATATCTGCCGCCGCTCATTAAAGTCGAACATGGGCTTCGGGTACGTTCCGTCCTCTTTATCATCCAAGCCATTACCCTTGAGACGAACACCTGCCTTCTTCAAGTCTGGGAGGGGGGCCTTCCACGGCTCGTAGATGTACTTGGCGTCCAGGTCCTTGAGCTCAGGGACAAACTTGCGGATCAGGGCTCCTTCCTTGTCCCACTTCTTGCCAAAGGCGACGGGGCTGTAACAGCGGAAGAACTGCGCGAAGAAGGCGGTGCACGACAGCCACTGCCAGTTCCCAGCGTTGCAGGCCGGCTCGTGGTCGAGCAGCCACTCCTCGAAGACCTCGGCCCCGCGCTCCCAGTCTACGTAGCAGCCGCCGCGGGTGAGGAAGCAGGCGACGCTGTGCCGGCCGAGATGGTGCATCCAGCCGTCCTGCTTGAGCTGCCGCATCAGGGCGTCGATCCAGGGGAAGCCTGTGACGCCGTGCTTCCAGCGCTTGAACCAGGTCTCTGCCGTGTCGCTGTCTACGTGATACTCTCCAGTGACGATGCCGGTGGAAGGGTCGGTTTTAGAAGGTAGATGCCATGGAATGAATCTGCAGGTCGGGTTGTTGGCTGTCTGGTGGAAGACTGGGCCGAGGGCGGCCTGCGCAGCGAAGTACATGTCCCGGAAGAGGAGCTGGCCCGTCAAGCTCGTTGGGGGCGAGGAGGCGCCTTTCCCATAGGCATCGACCACGTCCTGGACTCTCCAGTAGAATTCGCGAACGGAGAGAGCCCCGAAATGAAGAAAAGGGGAGAGGAATGTCGTCGCGGGAGGGTCGAACTGGGCCGGGCTGGTATTAGGTTTCTCAAAGGTCGCAGTGTATTTGGTGTCCTGGATGATCTTGTCAAGTCGCTCGAGGGCAATGGACTCTCCACCGCGGTGAGGCGTTGTTGCGGAAGGGAATCCCAGCTCCTCCATCGTCTCAATGGCAAAGTCCCCTGAGGGGCCGGCGATGCTCTTGTAGCCAGTGTCCTTCTCCGTCCGGCGGGAGGCATTTAAATCCGGGGCGGTTTCAGGTTGGTCTTGCTCAAAGTCAACTGGCATTTCACCAGGGTCCGGCAGACGCTTTGGAGCTGGAATTGGCCTGGGAATCTTTCCCACTTTGCCCCCTGCCGCGCGCACTGCAGCCATCGACATCGTGGGCTCGCCTCCATTCTTCTTGACAACCTCGTCACTGTCCCACAATGTTCTTCCCGATTTGACAATAACGACGACACCGGCCTTTTTGGCTGCCTCCATGACCACTTGGTCTCTCTCGCGGCCATAGGAATCTGTGTCTTTTTCGAAGACAAGATGGGTGACCTCCCAAGCCTTGAAGAGTTTTGGGAACAAGGACTGGGGTGCTTCTCTCAAAACGAAGAGCTTCAGCTTAGGATTCAGTTTGGTTATGGACTTGGATAGATCATTTTGACAGTCCAGTCTTTTGTATGCACATATAGGTCAGTAACCATTCACGAGGATGATATATGCGCAACTCACAAAAACTGCCATCTGTTGAGGCCTCCTCTTGCCCGGTATACATAGTGAGGATCCCAGGTGAATATAGGCCAGAATGCGGTGGGATTCAGATCCAAGGCAGCTTTGAGGGCTGGCGAATCATGAAGTCGCAAGTCGGTGCGGAACCAGTAGATGACTCGAGTTTTGGCCATTGGATCTGAGTGAGAGTTTCCCAATGCAAGCTTTCCCTTCAGGTGCACTGCATATGCCACAAGGATTTATTTGACAAAATTTTGAGGAGCATTGGTCGGTCTACAAGTCTTAGACTTTTCACATTGCGGGGAGCGAATATGCACAGAGAACTAGTGAAGAGGCTGGAAGCGAGTCCATGATGTCAGTAACTTTAGATAGAGCAAAAGCCATCTGTAAGTGAGTGACACATCACTACGCCACGTTCGGCCTCTAATATGCACGTGGCAGATTTGGGTTCTTTCTTCGACTGGCAAGAATAACTCATACAAAGCAAATAACACAGTATTGCACTGAATAATCCTTGCATATTGGAGCTGTCGGTAGTTATGCCAGATGTTATCAACTTGTGCAAGCTAGCTAGTAGCTTTAAAGTGTGATTGGCCAATCATCACCTCATGTATATTACCAAAGCAGGTAACATTGACAACAGCCATAGAAACCAAATTCTCTCCAAGATCAAGCACGAAAAGGAGGATATAAAGCGGGAAAAAAAAACATACAACAGCCGGTATTCGCTGGTCGTCACCGACCCAACTACTAATCGGCCCCTTATCCGTTTAACTAGGCGAGAGCGGACGGGATCGCGTGCTTTCGAATAGGTATGGTCGTATGTGCTAGGTATATGTCTAATGCACGCTATATTCCTAGCTTGTGTTGAAGCAATCTGGGGAACTGATCGGCGGGAACAAGACTCCTGTTCTGGCCATCTCTAAAGGATACCCAACTGTCTTGTCTCCCTACATCCGGTTGATACACGCACCAGTGCCGCTTGCCGTCGGTTGCAGCACTCCACATCTCATCATGCTTTCCAGTTGAAGCCGTGGCAGGTACGAAGGTACCTCTTACGCCGAAGGAGGGCACAGTCAGACCAAGTGTCCCCTTTGCACACGTCAAACTTGCCCGGCCATTTAATTATTCATGTACTTATATTCAATGCAGCCGACTGAATGCGACCAGCCCTCTACCTCTCAGGTTTACTTGAAAACATCTTGCCATCTCAATTCCGTCATTCATCCGCAACAACGTCATGATGCGGCTTCCCAGCCTCCCCAACGAAATTATCGATCACATATTGGGCTTCGTCCCACAATCCGATCTTGCAAAGCTCTGCCAGGTTAACAAATCTCTGCGCCACTCTGCTGAGCCTTTTCTGTATTCTACGATTTTTCTGTACTGGTATCACCATGAGATACCTCCAATTATCCCGCTCCTCCGCACCCTCCTCGAGAGACCAGAGCTGTTCGTCTACATAGACTCGGTAACTCTGTGTGGAACTGACTTTGGAGCTGGAGTAACACGTCCTCTTCTGGATACGACTACAATGCCCCTAGATCAATTCCAAGCTGCGATCAAGCAGACCCAAGTCCCTTATACCAGCTTGTGGATTGATCAGTTAAGGTCAGGCAGTATGGATGCACTTGCTGGCCTTTTAATCGCCAATCTCTCCAAGACTGTATTCCTCGCCATCACACATAACTTCATTGATGAGTGTGAAATCGTCCCTCGAGTTCTACAGTCTAAAATCCTTGGTCAATTACCTGAGTTTACACATTTTGGCAGGCTGCCTAAGTTTGAGCAGCTGAGCCACTTGGTTTATTGTAAGCAGAAGGACGATCCCTTTGAAGAATATAACGATGATGGGTATTTCATCGAGGCTATATCTCTGCTTTGCCTTCCAACTGTCACAGACTTGGTGATACGTCTGCCAAATACAGAAGTATTCTACTGGCCATTTGGCGAGCCTAACCTTGACCATCTGACTTCGCTCGAGGTCGATTGGGTCTACCCACGTTGTTTAGCCAAGATCCTCACCTGCACACGGAACTTGAGGACACTCACCTGGATTTGGCAGTATCAAGAGGACGCTACTATAGGATCTGATTCTATTCTGGACTATGATCGGATCGTTACAGCTTTATCACCACTGAAAGGCACGCTAGAGACCCTATGTTTTCGGCTAGATGAGGAGGTACTACAGGCTGCCGGCCCAGGAATAGCTACCGTTGGATCGTGGAACGGCCTTCGCGATTTCCAACGACTGACCCATCTTGATGTGCCATTGATGTCTCTGACTGGCGTCGGGCCTGACCCTCAACCTATGGAGCGCTATATCCCGGACAGGCTTGAAACGCTCTGCTTGTCACCTACGATGCTTACCCAAAAAGACGCGGTTTTGTGGATGTCTTATCCAGAAGCAGTCTCAAATCAAGAGTTCAAGAACATGAGCATGGATGAGTCGACTCCAGAGCATTATATCACTGCAGTAATCCATGCGTTTACTAGACAGTGCTCATCAAGTTTGCCACGACTGCACTGTATATGTTTTGTTGGTGATTATTATCTGTGGGATATTGAAATAGATTTTCTTATGGATCAACTGGGTGTTAAGCATGGTAGCATTGAGTTTCATGTCATTGATGAGCAGTACTGGGAAGCACGCCATCTACCAGGCTACCTAGACTACATAGTAGAGAGCGAATGAGTCTTCAGCCTTCATCCTGGCGGGCATTTCGCTCGTTCTTGATCTGCAACGAAAGGATAAGTTGATCAAAATATAATTTGCTGTTTATGCTATTGCTATTTATAGCCAATACAGAAGATTCTCGGTAACATGACTTTCACCGCTAACAGAATGAATGCGAAGACTAAGACAGTTCTTTTGTGCTTTATCTAATATATTTCTATCTTCAGTCCAAAAACGAAAGACTTCAGCTTCCGCTAACCGGTTGACCTCCCCCGATATTATTTTATCCATTTCCGCCCCCTCCTCCTCCTCTGCCTCCTCCTCCTCCTCTGCCTCCTCTACCTCTGCCTCGTCTTCTACCTTTGCCTCGTCCTCCTCTGTTTGTTGATGATTCCGTTTGAGCTTGACTGTCCTGTGGTTGATCACCGCCGTCGCCACCGCCGCCGCTGCTCCCTTCAACCTTTGCTGGTTTGTTTTGAGCCAAGGCCGATGAAGGTTCTTCCTTGTGAGTACTGTCTTGGGGCTTGTCGGCTTTTGGAGTGCTTTCCACTTTCGCTGGTTCGCCTTGTTCTTGGCTTGAAGTTGATGCTTCGGAGGGTCGTCCGCCTAGATCGTGGTGCTCGATCGTGAATTTGCCTAGATCGTAGGTATCTGCTATTTCGGCCCCTTCTTTGATTCTATTATAGTTGGCAGTTTCTTGACCCGGACCAGTCCAATTTTCGCAGCCAAAACTTTCCGTGTTCCCCTGTTGATTGTCAAGAGTCAGCTTCTTCTCAGTATTGTGGAAGGAAATATATGAAGGCAACCTACTTTTTCTGGGCTGCAAGGATTGTGAAGTCGTACTTTCCCGCCTTTATGCTTGAAAGAGACAATTGACGCTGCGTCACCATTCTCGCCCTTGATGTCCCCGATCTCGGTTTTCTTCCCACCTTCTTTGACATGATACAAGGCACCAACCGTGACCTCGCCACATTTCTCATCCCATCTATGCTTCTTACCCTCCTGTGCCTTGAGCATTTTCAATACTGCAGAGTTTTCGAATCCTGGCTGCCTAGCAATAGATGGCGCACCTTTGCCTCTATGACTGCTGCCAATGTAAATCACGTTGTCAACTTGCTTAGTAGTCACCAAGGGAGCGAATTTAGGGTTCCCTTTCCATAGCTTCAAGGTCTCCTTGGTCGCATCCTCGCCAAGCTTAGCTAATTCAGGGTCGGTTAGTGGCTTTGCGCCTTTTTCCCTTACGATGGTACTCGTATACACCTTGGTCGTCAAACCGGGCTTTCCATTAGGCCTTTTGAAGCTGCCATCCAACTGTATGCCTAGGTTCGGAGCCACATGTTTTGGCTTGGTGTCGGTTGTCTCCCCTTGTTTAACTTCTGCTGTGGCCTTTCCCTTGCCTTTGTCTTGGGGGTTGAGGGGGGGGCAGCCTCCCTGGCTTGAGCGCTTTCCGATAGGACAGGCCTTAGGAGTGGCTTCGGATGTTTTCTCTCCAGTAGCTTTCTTGCTACCAAGTTTTCCATCTCGAGTCGGATTTTTAGTCTTGTTGGTTTTGATAGACTTGTTGGTGTTCTTATGTCTTCCAACGTGCTGACCCTTGACAGACTTTGCGTGTTTCTTCGAGTCCTTTTTGCTAGCGTTTATAGGACGCTTGTTACCAGACTTCCCATGCTTGCCGACACTTTTATTCTTGGTAGCCTTTGCAGTGTGCTTATTTCCAGCACTCTGATTTTTGCCGCTAATTTTAAGCTTGCCAGTTTTCTTGTTCTTGCTGATCTTCTTGCCACCTCTGTATTGACCGGTTTTGGAATTCTTGTTGGTGTGGTTCCTGTTCTTCCCGGAGCCCTTATGGTTGCTGCTTTTGTTGGTATTCGAATTGGTTTTCACGGACTTGTTCTTGCTGGCTGACTTGTTCTTGGCGGCTGACTTGTTCTTGCCGGTTGACTTGTTCCTATTGGTAGATTTCTTGGTATTTGTAGATTTATCATTCTTGCTGGCAGACCTGTGCTTGCTGGTAGACTTATTTTTACCGGCAGTCTTGTTTTTACTAGCAGTCTTGCTTTTATTGGCAGTCTTGTTCTTGCCGGTTGACTTGTTCTTACTGGCAGCCCTGTTCTTGCTGGCAGCCCTGTTCTTGCTGGCAGCCCTGTTCTTGCTGGCAGCCCTGTTCTTGCTGGCAGCCCTGTTCTTGCTGGCAGCCCTGTTCTTGCTGGCAGCCCTGTTCTTGCTGGCAGTCTTGTTCCTGCTAGTAGCCTTATTTTTATCGGCAGTCTTGTTTTTACTAGCAGTCTTGCTTTTGTTGGCAGTCTTGACTTTGCCAGTAGTCTTGTTTTTGCTGGCAGTGTTATTCTTGCTGGTAGACTTGTTCTTGCTGGCAGTCCTATTCTTGCTCGAGGCCTTGTTTTTACTAGTAGTCTTGTTCTTACTAGCAGTCTTATTCTTGCTGACAGTCTTGTTCCTGCTGGTAGTCTTATTCTTGCTAAAAGACTTGTTCTTGCTCGAGGCCTTGGTGTTGCTGAGAGCTTTCTTGTTGCCAGCAGTCTTCTTGCTAGCAGTCTTCTTTCTTGTAGTCTTCTTGTTGGCATTTTTCTTGCCAGTAATCTTGTTGCTGGCAGTCTTCTTGCCAGCAGTCTTGATACCAGCAGTCTTGATACCAGCAATCTTCTTGCTAGCAGTCTTCTTGTTAGCAGTCTTGTTGCCAGCGGTCTTCTTGCTAGCAGTTTTCTTGCCAGCAATTTTCTTGCCAGCAGTCTTCTTTCCAGCGGTCTTCTTTCCAGCGGTCTTGTTGCTAGCAGTCTTGTTGCTAGCAGTCTTCTTCCCGTTAGAACCATGGCTAGGGTGCTTTGATATCTGAGATTTCTTTGGGGAATTCTTCGGCTTTGCGGCTTTCTTCGAAACACTCTTACCGGGAGTAACTGCGTTCTTTTGGGAAACTTTTTTTCTGAAAGTAGTGTTCTGCTTAGCTTTTCTATGGGAACCCTTCTTTGGAGCGGTAGCTTTCTTTGGAGAAGTAGCCTTCTGTTTCCTTGGACCGGCAGCTTTCTTTGGAGTTACTACTTTCTGTTTTCTTGGACCGGCAGATTTCTTTGGAGTAGCCGCTTTCTTTGGAGTAGCCGCTTTCTTTGGAGTAGCCGCTTTCTTTGGAGTAGCCGCTTTCTTTGGAGTAGCCGCTTTCTTTGGAGT